TGAATGAAATTTCTTATTTTTTCTACTTAAAAATATGGTAATTGGTAAAAATAATTGTACTACTAGTATAATTTATGCAAAAATTATATATACTATAACGTGTGTGTGTGTATACGTACAGAATGCAATGCTTTCACGTGTCAAGTGTCAATGCAGCTTTCCAAGCATGGTAAGATATGTCGATACACGTTCGCATTCGATGTCAAGGCGAATCGGGTCATACGAACGATGGGGCCACTACACGTGTCAAACGCATCGCATATTCACGTGTCGGTCCTTCGTTTCGCGTCTAACGGTACCAGATCGCGACCGGTTTCCGACCGGACGAAAACGAAACGAGAAAAAATAAAATCGTCGGTCCCTGGGCTCGGCGCAGAAATCGGTTTAAGACGAAAAAGCCTTTGGACTCTCGAAGAGATGCGGGTAACGATAATACCGCTATACAAGAGAAACCGACTGATCGAACGGGGCCCAGTACCGTTTTGACAGTCGCGCGAAAAGCCATGAAGCCGCAAAACTTCCTGAAATGCCTCGTCTGCGGTCTCCTGTTCACCTTCGCGCCGAAATCGATTCGTTGCGACGAAGCCGGCTTCTCCGTAAGCGATTGCCTATTCCTGTCGCGTTACGATTTCTCATTTATTGAATTTATCGTTTGCCCTGTCAGAAATAATTCAAATATTTGATGAACAATTTTACGTGTTTTTATTAGGAAACGAGCGACGATTTGAGAGAAACGCGCGGCGTTCTAGACTTCCTATTCGGCAGATTCAAAACTTGTGGCAATTGTCGTGAGTGATCGCTTTGGTATCATGAAAATTAGATTATTATATTCTCTACGTCATTTCGTTGTTTCTTTTTATAGTTTGTGGACGACCAAATCGGGTCGGTGAAGCACGATTCCTCGGTGGAGAATATACAATACCGCACGAGTTCCCATGGCTTGCGAACATTCACGTGAGATCGCAGTTGCTTCTAAGCGGAGTCCTGATAAACGATCGTTACGTGCTATCGTCCGCGAGCCAACTTCTCGGGTACGTGAATAATAACTGAACATTAAAATAATATAATCAAAAATTTTTTATAAATACTTGTTCGATTATTTTAATTCTCAGCTCTATAGGTATATTGTATCATTTATTTTCATCGCAGTGCCACGGCACCAGAGATAAAGGTATCCCTTGGAGAATATGATCGATGCAATCTGGACGTATCCTCGACGACGGTTAGCGTCGAATCCTTAATCCTTTACCCAGAATATAATCCGGAGTCTCATGCTCATAACTTAGCGTTAATTAAATTGAGTCAGACAATTAAATTCAACAGAAGGATATCGCCCATTTGTATGCCAAATCCAGGTATTGCATTTTATTATACATATAATCTATAAAATATAGTCCGATGATAATATTATGTGTAGTTATTCCAAATGTAATTATTAAATATGAAGAATTATTAAATGGAGGTCATCTTTAGGTTCAACGTATCTCGGGCAAGTCGGAACGCTGGTTGGATGGACAGTGGGAAATACAGAGGACAGAAACAAGAATCAAACTTGTCGACCACGAAAATTGGGCCTTCCGATTTTGGGTTACAATGAATGCATAAGGTCGGGAATTAATCTTATGAATTTCCACAACGATTCCGGATGCGCTGGCATACTAGGCGGAAGTTCTATTGTGTGCGAGGTACATTAAATCATTCCTACTGTTACTTTTTATTAGTTACACTTTTTCTGTCCTTCTATTTTTGAAATTCTCCTCAATGCGAGATTATAACGATTAAAGATTTACTGAGGCTGTCCAAATAATAAATCAGAATTAATTTAAAACTAAAATTACTTCTTTTTTCGATTACATTTTAAATAAGGACGAAGGTATTGAATAGATAAATGTACTTTTTAGAATGACGACGGATCTTCCGTACAATATCGTTCGTACGTTGGTGTTTATGATCTAATCGGTATGTATATTCAAAATAATAGAATCTCCAAATTTTCATACATTATAAATATTATATGTTCATATAAGTTGTAGAGGAAACTGTGTATATCTTAGAATATTGAAATAATAATAAAAGCTTCATCGCAGGCATCATCTCAGATGTTAACAAATGTGATCGCAGTCCCGCAGTCTCGGTATTCACGAGAGTCGGACCGCATTTAAATTGGATACTACAACAGACCAAAGATGCGTGCTACTGTCCAAAATGACAAAACGCGTTCTAACGAATTTTATTATAAACACTATTCTTGGGAAGGGTAAATAAAATGAAAACAGCATTCGCGTTTTGTTGTACGAAATTTATTATACGCATTCAACGTCGAAACTTACAATATTATTGTAACATATCCGTGTACAAGTGGACGGTATTCGCGATCATTTGATAATTTTTAATCAATGTACATAGAATGAAGGATCATTTAAATGGTCTGGGCTCGATGTCACATACACGTATGGATGAACATACACATGTGTATTTTGTGCACGATTTACTTAAATCTACGTAATACAGACATGTACACATAAGTAACAATAATTGTATTGCTCCAACATTTTTCGAGTTAATCTCGTGAACGACGACCGATGAATGTACGAAAACATTCTGTTTTCGGATATGACGTCCAGTCGTCTATACCAAAAATAAAAGTTGTATTAATGCTGCAATATACAATATGTCGTTGAAGGAACTATCTGTAATGATCTGTCATATAATTTTACTGTTATTTATTATGCGATTCACCTTCTGTTGCGAAACAGGAAAAATTAATGAAAATAAATAAATATGAAAAGAAATGTTCACCAAAAGTGGCTTTGTCCTCTCTTAAAAATTAATACGTAAATTTAAGTACTCCTCGAATAACATCTTGTTCGCCAGTATAGTAATATTACTTCAATAAGCTGTATTTGATATTTACATTGATCGTTTGCTATTCTGAAACAAACACTATCCGTGTCATCACGATTTAGTGAAAGAAATGAACTTAAAAATGAAGACATATGAACAACTGCAAATTATATTGAATATGCTAAATAGTGTTTTCTGTAGAATTAAATAAGCATTTTTATATACTTCAAAACATATTCGTTTTATACGATTCTTAATTAAAAGAGATTACGATATTGATTAACTTAGTAATAACTCACGAATTAGTTAAATTCCTATTTCTAACTCTCATTAATATGTATGTACTTTACTGTGATATGATAAGAAAACATTTCAAAAATCCAATATTTACTAGAAAATAAACTAAACATAAAATCGTAAGAAGCAAAGTATCGCTATCTCAATTAATGGTAATGTTAATAGTGGAATTTAGTTTGATCACGATTAATAAAACACTAACAAACGATTAGATTATTAAAAATAAACTCATATTACAATGGAAGTATAATTGAATATAAAATATGTTACACGAGTGCTATTTTACAATTGGTTCGAAATACCCGGTACATTACATGCATTAATATATAACATGGGTAACATTTGCATTACATTGCGACGTAACTGCTTCTTCTAAAGTACAATCTAATTTACGATAATTAGCAGTGCTTGGTCGTCGTCTACCTCGGTTGTTGCGTGACCTACGCCCTTCCAACACAATAGCCAATATCTATAACATCGAGATATTAAAGTTAAAAACGACTTCAATAAAATACAAATGGAACTTAAAAATTCGATTATAACTCTTTACCTTCTGTTTATTATGATAACCGACGTAGGCAGCCACAGAAAGTAGAGACACGATAGTGAAATAAGTAAAAAAATGTGACTCATCGTCCGTTCTTATAGAGTGATAACGAGACGTGAAGTCTCGTTGCTCAGACGGCTCGGGTACACCCTGTTCCGAATCAGCTTCTGTAACGGAAGCTTGATCGAGTCCCTCATTCGGATCTAATGACAAAACAATGATTTTAGATATACATATATAAAAGACATGTTGCAGTATTTTTTCGCTAAATGCTCATAGAAATTTTCGTTGATCGTGAGAATAAACTGGGAGCATTCAGCGAGGATGTACTGCGTGTATATGAT